CTTAAGCTTGTCCAAGCGTGAACAATCGTTCATGGAACGAGAGGGCTGTGCCCTAGTGGGTTTGAACCACGGACCTATCGCTTGTGAAGCGAGTGTTCAACCGCTGAGCTGTTGTCGACGACTCGAATGAGTATAGAGCATTGCTCTAAGCGGTTTGCAGCTCTTGGAGTAGGTGCGGAGCGCGAGCGTAGGTCTGAGACCGCTTGAGAGCAAGATGCGCGCTGCGCTTGGAGCATTGGGCCGTGGGCCGACGACGAGAAGTTGGGCATCAACGATGCGTAGGCGTTTGTGAGCTCACGGAGCTGTACAACGCTGGTGTGAGGTGTAGTAACCTCCGCCGTCTTAACAAGACGTGACCTCGCTGAGGAGAGTTTCGAGAACGGAATGTTCTCATCTTAGTGGGGGAGAGTGTAACGGGGTTACATGGTGTGGAGCACACAGGGGTACGAAGTACCCGGAGAGTTAACAAACTCTCAGTACATAAGTTGGAGAGTTAACAAGGTATCTCAGTACGTTGGCTGAAAGCCACACGTTATGCATTTGATTAGGTTTAACTATGCTAGATAGTTAAAGAGATACATTTACCCCTAGGCGGCTTGGCCGCAATAATAGTAAATAAAACACTTCTGGTTTTGAAGCATAAAAGTTAAGGGTGTTAACTTTGAGCCCTGGTCTTGGGCTGTAAGTGTCCTTTGGGATAACGAACTTAGTATTAGTGACTCTTTGAGTCGAACGTCTTCCTCTGACGCTAAAGCTACGGCAGCCCCGCTGCAAGCATGGTGCTAGCTTTGCAGCACAATACGAGGCTTCGAGTCTTCGACGGATGCTTTGCTGCCAGGGACGACAGCAAAGAGCGCATTGTGGAAATTCCCGTGGGATTTTGCCTAATCTTTAGAGGAGATCTCATTTACAGCGGTGTTGCTTTTATCAAAACTAACTACCGTGTACACTGCTATCTAAGCTACGACGACGTGCACTGGACACCTGATGTGGTCCAAAATGTTCTTCCGAGCCATGGTGTGTGTGGTTTCTGCGGTGTCAAGATGCTAAAAGGGCCTGGGCTGCGCAAACATCGGTATTTGTGTGAGCAGAATCCCGATGGAGCTTCGAACCGGTTGAAGCGAAAGCGCGAGGGCAAGGAGGGTGTCTTCAAATGCGAGTTGTGCCCCAACGTCGGATACCCCGTGGCGAGTAGTTTGCGCTCGCACAAAAGCAGAGTCCACGGTAGCGGCCAGTAGGTGGAGTAAATCTCATTTCATCGCATTTGAAGGTTCATATTGCAAATTTCCTTTATTTTTTAAATTATTGGAAGTTGAAGTAGAATTTAAAGTTGAAGTTGCAAGAAAACATATATTTAGACGTATAGCTTCTGTCTGGTCTACTGCTTCTCGTTTGGCTGCTGGTCAGTAAAGGGGATACGGCCGGCAAAACCCCATGAACGCGGTGGTAGGAAAGCGTCTTCGAAACTCAAAATTACGTCTCCTTCGTGGATGCCGAACTGTTGCATATCAATCGGGGGCATACCTACCATTGTAGGTGGAGTAGCAGGATGACTCAAATCCATGCGCTCACTGAAAGTTGGCTCGCGTCCAGTTCCTCTTTTGCCTTGATTCTTTCGATGCTGGGCTTGTCGTTTTCCCTTTCGAATCGTGCGGATTGTAGCTGGTTCTTAAATTCTTGGCACAGTGTGCTTATCTTGATCCCTATAAATCCACCAATGCTTGTCGAAATCATGAGGAGCTAAGAACCGTTGCCCGTTGGACTCGACAATCGAAATTAACTCGTGCAGGCATTGTCTGCCGTGTACGACACGGAAAAAGCAAATTTTGCAGAGCTTGTTGATCTGAGGAAAGATGCGGATAAAGATAGTAAACACCTGAGCACTTGCTACGCTGAGCCCCCGCTGTTTACTATCTTCTCCGCATCTTTCCACAGCCTCTCTGTTTCTCCAAGAGCTGCTCGTGTGATAATACGAGCTACTCTGGAATAACGGTTCTTCTGGAATATGTGAGGTGCAGTGACTGCGTTTTGCTCCATAAGTAAGCGCGTCTCCGACGCCGCGATCGTCCACCAACTCAGAAGCTTCTTAAACACCGTGTACAAATCTCCTTGACTCGATTCCAATTTGCTCTTGATCTTGGCATGCGCTCCTTCAACTGTGGAAGTATCGCGGACACCAAAGTGCATGTACTTGTTTGTACAGTGTTTGACAATCCTTGTCTTGTATTTCCACCAATGCAGATCGAGGTAATCTGACACTGGTTTGCACTTCTCAATTAGATCCTCACGCTTGGCATTGAAGTCGGCTTCTGTTTCGGCGTCCACAGCCTCGTAGAAACTCGCCATAAATGAGTTCGTTTGCCAAGAATTCTCCTTCTTTGGTTGACAGGGAGCAGAATTCTCAACGTCCACCTGACCTAAATGCTTTCTTGCGATGGCCTCAACATTCTAGTTCAGGGGAAACGGTAGACCATTGATGGAATGATGGAAATACTAGACCCGTGATCGTATACCCCGGCCACATCGGGATCCGTAAACAGAATTTATGTAGGGAACGAGAGTGGTTAACGATCGTTACCGTGGGCAGGACGGGAAAGTCGGGGGAAGAAGGTCATATTTTTCCCCGGGGAGGCAGGCCGGGGCGACGTGTAGAAGCGGATAGTGGCTCCGGGTGATCACGAG